TTTAGTCCACCAAATTATCGTGTTTGGCCCGCCCTTATTTCGTTCGTTTAACCTTCTCTTCTTGTATCATGTTACATCAAATCATCACTGGTCACTTTATTCATCGTATCACATTAATGTGGGCGGGAATTTGGGGGCTAAGTGAAAGTTATTGAGTTGAAATTATTTAGTGTATGAAGTTAAATCATTTGTGTTCCGGGTACTTAGTGTTAGGATCGATACCAGTTGTTAGGATCGCTAAACAATAATGCACACACTCGATCAAGATGAACCCAAAGAACAAGAGAGAGAAAATACAAAAAGGAATATTAGCTAAAGATTTTATTTTTGATAATGTACAGCACTGTTGTATATATGATTTCAATTTACTAAATACAGCCTATAATCTTCCAAATATATTTCTATTAGAGCTTCACTGTAACGACACAGATCCACAGCTAGCAGATATTGTCCTTTTTTACTTTCTATTTCGGTTTTTCCAAGCTTTAAAACGGGTTCGCTAGGGGAAGGTTTCCACACTTTTATAAAGGGTGGTTCCACCGCTAGCAGATATTGTCCTCTTTAACTTTCCATTTCAGCTTCCCCAAGCTTTAAAACGGGTCTGAGAAGGTTTCCACAACTTTATAAAGAGTGGTTCTAAATGGTGGTTTGTTCTCCTCAACAACAAACGTGGGACATCACAATAAAAAGTGATGTCAAGAATGGGATTCAAACCTATGCCCTTTCTGACCAAAACCTAAAACTGCCGCCTTAGATCATCTCACATTGACCCAAAGGGGGTGGATTGTGATGTCCCACATTTGTTGGGAGGAGAACAAACCACAAACCTTCCCATAACAGACGCGTTTTAAAGCCTTGAGGGGAAGCCCACCCAAGGAAGACAATATTTGCTGGCAATAGATTTGGGCCGTTAAATATATTTCAAATATATTTGTATCAGATCTTTACTAAATATGTTCCAAATATGTGTATCAAATATCTTTCAAATATATATATATGTATCAAATATCTTTCAAATATATGTGCATTAGATCTTTACTAAGTATCTTCCAAATATATTTCTACTAGATCTAATAGATCTAGGCATCAGGCTCCATATCCCAACACGACATAGATGCATAGTTTGTGAGAACAGTTCATCGAGAGGTTTAGAAGGATTAGGATGAGGTGTAGCAGGGATTGGAAAGTAGCGGCCAGCGAGTGGCGGTAGAGAGAGTAGAGTGTCACGGTCATGCTCGTCCAGGGCGTGTTGCCTATGGCCGCATGCCCATGACAAGCCAAACCCTTGTCATGTCCTTTCATTCTAGTGTTTTTTCCTTTTGTAGTTCTAGGGCTTATGACGCCTCAAAAATATCATGTCTAGGCCTGCCAAATATAAAATAACTCAGACCTATCCAAGGTTATATATGCTAAGCAGTTGTTATTTTTCTCTTGCTTGCTTATATAACGTCTCTTTCTAAAATCTCTCTCTCTTCTCGTTTTTTAAAACCTTTTTTTAAAACCGAGGCTAGAGGCTCGATCATACGTTGCTTGGCCGTAGGCGACGCAAGAACAAATTGACTTAGCTCACTTGTCGTTGGAAAGTGAGTGCCGCACAATCGCTAGTCCGCTGCCTTCGAAAGTGCGATTGTGTCACAGAGCAGCCAAGCGTGGAGGTGGAGAAGGCAAGAGGGGAGGGCCAAACACAAGATTTTGAATGCCATTGCGCTTGCGATGTAAGCAAAGGCAGCCGAATCTGATTCCCCCCTCCCCCCCTCTGCCTAATTCCCAACTCTTTCTTTCCTTTTCCCCCTTTTCCTTCCTTTCAATCTGCCCAACCACACCAAAATAATCAACCCTCCCATATGGACAACAACTATACCTATATATGTCTAGATGCATAACTTCCCACTGACCCAACACACAATATATCTGTGACACTCGAGTGAAAAAGAAATATATGAATGAATCCATTTCCCCACTGACCCAACACACAATATGTCTGTGACACTCGAGTGAAAAAGAAATATATGAATGAATCGAGACCATATCCGAATGATAGCAATCTTAAAAATAGATTGACTAAGACACATTTCAGAGAATTGAAATCCATTACCTATACCAATACAATACACCTTCTTTTTCAGTGGCACAATCATTGGAACTTCATAATTTGTTTGGAGCAATTTTATGTTGGGTGACATATTAGGAGGATAAAATACATTAGAAGAACTCGTGTGTAGTATGTGGGGACCATCTTCAACTAATGTTAGTTGGGATAGTCTTCACTCTCAAAAGTGATCATGTCTCTTGATATAACAACTCAGGCTCACTGTATACTAGAGAGAGGTTTCCACATTCTTATAACAAATGTTTTGTTCACATCTCCTGGTGGGATGTTACAATCCACCCCCTTTGAGGCCAGCATCCTTTCTGACAAACCACTCAATGGATATCATTTATAACAGCTCAAATCCATTGTCCGCTTTCTTCCATTACGTATCAACGTCAACCTCACGGTTTCAAAATGCATTTACTAGGGAGATGTTTCTATAATCTTATAATGAATTTGTTCTCCTCTTCAACTGATGTGAGATCTCACAGTTCACTTCCTTGGGACCAGCGTCCTCGCCGACATACCATCAGGTGTCTAACTCTGATACCATTTGTAATTACTCAAGTTCATCACTAGTAGATATTGTCTACTTTGACCCGTTATGTATAGCCGTCAACTTCACGGATTTAAAACGCGCTTTCTAGGAAGAGGTTTCCGTACTTTTATAGAGAATCCTATCACAGTCGAGGTAAGAAATCGAAAATGTCGGGCGACAAATTTGGATTCAAAACCATAATTGAAATTGTAAGCTTTTATTTTAATTAGAAAGAAATTAAAATCCATGGAGGAAAAAAAAATGAGTTGTGCACTTTACAAATATGAAGCGTGTAAAATGCAGTGGGAGCTGCCATTGTCCAACCAGAAAACGACACGTCAGGAATGTTTGCTTACCGAAATTGATGATGACGTGTAAGGTTGTGGGGTTTTAAACTTTGTGGTCAAAAAGGAATATGATGAACGCTAGCATTATAGCATAATGGGTTACCTAAAAACACACTTTATTTATTTATTTTTATTTTTATTTTTATTTTCATTTTCATCATTTACAAGAATGGAATATTTGAATTATTCCTTTCCACTTTTTTTTTACCAAAAAAAAAAAAGTAAAAAAGTTGCATTATTAAGTTGTTGACTTTTTTTATTTTATTTTATTTTTATAAGTAATAATGTTCGTGGGTTGAGTTAAGTTGACTCGAGTCGGAACATTTTTCGGGACTAACTCAATTGTTCGAATATTTATTAAATAATGAACCCAACAACACAATTTTTAGGTTGTTTTGAGTTATTTATTTTAAATTTTATTTTTAATTAAAAATCAATTTAATCTATAAAATTTTCATTTATTTAAACTTAATCCAACCTAAATAAGCTGATAACTCAACTGAGTTGGATTGGATTGGATTGGTCTGGTTTACTGGGTCATCAAGTTTTTTGAACACCCTTAAGGGCTAGTTTGATTCGAAGCCTTGTCAGTTATAATAAATAATTATGGTCACGGCTTTAAGGAGCCTTTGAGAACTTGTCAGTGTTCAAGTCAATGGCTCTTGCCTACAAATACGTTGGAACCATTTACTCAGACGTGTCATAGGTAATAAAAAAAAATAAAGGGAAAAAAGGTAATTTTTTTTCTCGTTGGACAATAGAGATTAGTTGCCTATCACCTTCCGTGCTCTCCTTGTGGTCCTCCTTCGATTTCCTGACCTTTTCTTCAACCATTAGAGGAAATCGTTTTGGACTTGTTGATGAACAGTAACGTGGATGTTTACCGAAACAATTCTAGAATTCACCCATTCGAATATAACCCGACACAAAACGAACGAACTCATGTTAAGTACCAAAAAGAAAAGGAAAAAAAAAAAAAAAAAAAGTGGGTGTGGATAAGAAAAAGAACAAAAAGGCCAATAATGGCTTCCTTTGAAGATACGGAAGGTTTTTCTTTTACTATTTGAATCAATCAATGAAACATTGCTTCCAAAGGTACAATTAAAATCACTATCTTTTGCGGCCTTCCCGCCCCAATTATCACTAACCTTAAGTAAATCTTTGGCAACTTCAGCCGCCCCCATCAAAGTCGAGATGTCGGTTCGTTCTCGAGACGGGGAATCAGTAGCTCTCTATTTCGACTTCTTGGGTCTTCATATTTTTGAACCGAGATTTGGCTCACGTCTTGTATATCAGTATACATACGATTGCTTGCTGTAACTAGGAGTCATATTACAGAAGACAGCTCAAGTCCACTGTTACTAGATATTGTCCACCATGACCCGTTACGTATCGTCATCAACCTCACAGTTTTAGAACGCATTTATTAGGGAGAGATCTTCCATTGAGGGTTAAGGTTCTGGCGGGCACACCACTCAATGTCTAGCTCTTTTGTACATTTTGTAACAGCTCAAGCCTATGATTAGCTTATATCGTCCATTTTCGTAATTAAACCTGACAACTTCAGTCGCCCCCCATCAAAGTCGAGATGTTGGTTCGTTCTCGAGACGGGAAATCAGTTGCCCTCTATTTCGACTTCTTGGGTCTTCTTATTTTTGAACTGAGGTTAACGATTGCATGCGGTAACTGGAGGTCATATTACAGCTAAGACCAACCTTAATTCAAGACCCACGGACTAAAAGACAGCTCAAAGCCATTGTTACTAGATATTGACCACTTTGATCCGTTACGTATAGCCGTCAGTCTTATATGTTTAAACCACATTTATTGGGTGGCACACAGCTCAGTGTCTAGCTCTTTTGTACATTTTGTAATAGCTCAAGCCTATAGTTAGCTCATATTGTCTATTTTGGTAATTAAACATGGATACGGGTAAATAAACAAAACTTTCCTTTTTTTTTCAATTACTTGCAGGAGTCGGATTGCGGTGCGCGGGAGTTGGGTGTATAAAGCCCACGTGGGCGACGAAGCCTTCAATCTTCGTCTTCCATTTTTTTCCTTTTCCGTCTCTCTCTCGTGTTCTTCAAGTTCATTGCATTCCTCTGTTTCTCAAACTTATATAATTTCATGGCGATCCTTCTCTTCTCCCACTAACTTTAATCTTTCTTTCGCTTTCTTTCCCCTTTTTTTCTGGTGCGTTTGCGAAACATTCTTCTGGTTCGAACGATTTCCCTCTTCGTTGTTGGATCCAAAACCCCAAGTTTCCGTTACCAATTTTTCCGACGAAATCCCACTCGACGATCGACATTTGGATGATCGGTGGATGAACATCAAAACCTGCACGAAATCGGGAACGGATCGTTGTTAGACTTTTCCTTTCTGAATCTCGAAGAGTTGCGGCGACAAGTAAGGATCAATTCTAAAACCCCCTTTTACAATTTGTGTGTGTTCTTCTGTTAATTGTTCCTCCGATTTATGACTACTCAGAGTAATCACGATCGTTGGGGTTTTCTCTTTTTTGTGACGATTTTTGAAAAGCCCCTTTTCGTTTTTGAGTGATTCGTGTTTTCTGATGTACTGAATTAGCGATTGATTTGAATTGGAAGGAACATGGCTACGTTCGTGGAGCCACCGAACGGAATCAGGTCAATGGGGAAGCATTATTACACAATGTGGCAAACTCTGTTTGAAATTGATATTAAGTACGTCCCAATCAAACCGATTGGGCGAGGAGCTTATGGTGTGGTGTGTTCTTCAATCAACCGAGAGACCAATGAAAAAGTGGCGATCAAGAAGATTCATAATGTGTTTGAGAATCGCACGGACGCCATGAGAACGCTGAGGGAGCTTAAGCTTCTGAGGCATATTAGGCACGACAACGTGATTGCTTTGAAGGATGTAATGATGCCTATCCATAGAAAAAACTTTAAGGATGTGTATTTGGTTTATGAGCTCATGGATACGGATCTCCATCAGATTATTAAGTCTTCTCAGCCTCTTTCCAATGATCATTGCAAATATTTTATCTATCAGGTATGGATTCTCCTTTGATATTCGTTTTTGTTTATCTCTCTTAAGTTTCACTTGAAAATTTATATGGGTTATCTTCAATCATTCATTGTACTATGTGTTTCAAAGATATGGTGTTTATATACTTTTAGAGGCAAAGATAATCAGCTGATGTTGCTTGATCTAACCAAGATGGTAGATCATTTGTTTGATATAGATTTCTATTACTTGATGTAGCTGCATTTCAGTTCGTCTGTGTCGATATCGATTGATATAGCAGTTTTTTATGAGAGTTGCAATGGAAACTTGTATACATGTCGAATTCGATGCCTTCCTAAGCTCTAAGGTCTGATTATGACATTTGTTCTCATGTATTACAGTTGCTTTGCGGGTTGCAATATCTTCATTCAGCGAACATTCTTCACCGGGATTTGAAGCCCGGGAACCTCCTCGTCAATGCTAACTGTGATCTGAAGATATGCGATTTCGGGTTGGCACGAACTAGCATGGGTCATGACCAGTTCATGACTGAGTATGTTGTCACTCGCTGGTATCGCGCACCAGAGCTTCTCCTCTGCTGTGACAACTATGGGACTTCTATTGATGTATGGTCGGTAGGCTGCATCTTTGCTGAGATTCTGGGTCGGCAGCCTATCTTCCCGGGGACGGAGTGCTTCAACCAACTCAACTTAATCATGAACGTTCTCGGTTCTCCGAAGGAAGCTGATATCAAGTTCATTGACAATGCAAAAGCCAGAAAGTATATCAAGGGGATGCCGTTTTCAAGAGGAATAAACCTTTCACATCTATATCCAGACGCCGAACCTTTAGCTCTAGACTTATTACAAAAGATGATTGTATTTGATCCAACTAAGAGAATTACAGTTGACGAAGCACTTCAACATCCCTACATGTCGGGGCTATACGACCCAAAATTCAATCCTCTAGCCAATGTTCCCCTCACTCTTGACATCGAAGACTCACTCGAGGAGAACAAAATCAGGGAAATGATGTTGAACGAGATGCTCTATTACCATCCCGAAGCAGCATATTCTTGAGGTATGTATAATTCTATTCGAAGACACGCTTCGTAACATGATTCGATTGATTCTCATACTTTTTGGGATGTTGGAATCTGATGTTATGAGTTCATCAGCGTAGTTTCGACAGCTCTGATTAGAAATCTTAGCGTATCGACACGATTGCGGCCGTCTTTTCAACCTGTAAATATAAGTATGAAGAAGTTATGGATCCAGAAAAGGTATGAACTATTTTTGTACCAGTGATGAATGTGATATGAATGAGAAGAAGCTTTTGTTTTGGGTTCAAATACATGTAGTTTTGCATTTTGTGTAGGAAACTGTTAGATCCTCGATAACTCATCGCATAGCCTTAAATTGGATCAAAAACACTCTTTGGGCTTCCAATAGATAAGCCCATGGGCCAGCCCATGAGCTCTCCTTATTCAATTGGGCCTGGTGTTCGTGGGTTTAGACATTTTAAAGCCCAATCTAATTATAATTTTGTTTTTACCCAAACAACTCTAATTAAACAATAACCCAACCCAATCATAATCTATATATATAATTAAATAATAACCCAACCCAATCATAATCTATATATATAATTAAATAATAACCCAACCCAATCATAATCTATATATATATATTTTGCATCGGGTCGGTTCGGCTATATATGTATAGATAATTATATGGTAACAAGCATGTAAATTTGGTTGGTTCAACTCGATCTAGTCTATTTTTAGAATCCACGAGCTAGCACAATCTATAAAATCTTCATTTATTTGAACCCAACCATACGGGTTGGGTTGGGTTGGTGGGTCGATTGAAGTTTCAAGTTATCGAATTTTTTCGATGATTCCTAAATATTACAAAATTTGGATCATATAAATTCTTATTCCATTGTCATGTGTGAATGAGGTGGCCCTTAGGGAGACAAGGATCCAACAAAGTCAAAAGAAATACAAAACGTGAATTTAAAGGGTTTTAGGAAATCTTATGATTTTGAAACAATTCAATGAATGTAACCCTAAACTTTTCAAAATTTATACCATATTTTTTTAAATATTTATTTTAATATCAATGTATGAGTATATATTGATATTAGAATCATTAAAATTTGAATATTAATTACCATTATCCACAACCTAATGGGTAATTAATATTCAAATTAAAAAAGAAAAAAAAAAAGGGTTTTCATTTTAGTCAAATCTAATGGGCACCAAACCCGTGGTGGGCTATGCTCGAAGTTCCAATAGTCTCTTTATAGTCATTTAAACCATTATTGAAGTAAGTGATCTTATAGTCAAAATATAATATATTTTTATTAGATTAAATTAAACGTTACCCACTAAATTTGTATGTTAAAATTTATAAGTCTAAACGTCATCCAATCAACTTGGGCATATGTTTTTATTATTATTATTATTATTATTGGTTTTTTTCTTAATGAAATTAGAATATTCCAATTTTATTTTTAGAATATTCCATCAAAATAAAAATAAAAAATAACAATGAAACAATAATAATATAAAATAAACGTTTGGTTTATATTAAATTATTATACTAAAAAAATAAATTATCATAAAAAAAAATAGCTAAAAGGTGTGTAGAATTAAAAAAATCCACAAACCCATTTATATTAAATAATTATAATAGCGGTGGCTAATTTTTAATTAGAAAGGATCTATTTATCCTTTTCAAAGAGACGTAAATTAATAAAATTCTTATTTGACAAAAATAATTTATTTAAATTGAATTAAGTTTTTTATTAGCACCTTAATCAAAGATTAAGTAAATTTTAAAATATTTGTGATTTTTTTTTTTATAAATAAATTTTTTAAAAAAAAAGTCTAAATATACAGCTGGCAATTTCAGTTCGTGAGCCGCATTTTGCGCGTGATTGTGAACATGAGATGATTCATCCCATTCACTCCTAAAATTTTCAACCACTTTTTTTTTTTTTCTCTAAAAAAATAATAATAATTTTTCTTTGCTGTCAAATATTTTTATAAAAGATATTTTCATATAATATTATTAAGTTTAGAGATGTCCACGGGACCGAGCATGCACGCCACCTATTTCATTCCCCGTTCTAGAGAAATTTCCATCTATATTCTGTAAATATCGTGTTTTTAGGTAATTTTTACTCATTTATTATTCTTTTAAAGTTTTCCTTTTCTTTAATATAATTTTTTTTCAAAAATCATAATAAATGCGTATTTTTCTGAAAATATAATTAGGATAACGGGTAGAATAGGGTAGAGAATATAATCTCATCCCGACCCCAACCCCATTTATCTAATGGAGACAAAACATTATCCATTCTCTCTTGGAGACGGTGGAAATGAAACATTACTAGTCAACCTATTTTAAAACTTGGAGTAAAACTAAAAAAAAAAAATTAAAAAATGACAATATTTGACCAAGATATCGGACAATGTGCCAACTAGGACGTTGTCTCTCCGAACATGTCACATGATTCATGTATATTTGAGAAATGTTGCCATATATATTCATTTATCCATTAAACTTTATCTTTTTAAAAACTTTTTATAAAGTTTTTATGATGCAACCAAGCAGCTTCGCTCATTTTCGTGATTATTCTATCCATTTCTGATCTATAAAATCCTCCACCAGTTCTTCCCAAAACCTCTCCTCTCCGTTTCCTCCCTTTAAGCCTTCTTTCTATCTCTCTGTTCCTCCTCTGTTTTGTCTCTGTTTTTTTTTTTTCCAGATTTTTCCGACAAAATTTGCAGATGCGTTTTAATACTTCCATTCTTGTCTGCTGATGGTTTGTATTCATGTCTCCTGTAGTCTGTGAGATACTTCTCTCTGGTTTTACCATTAACTCCGCCCTCCGCCGTGGTACCCATCTTGTTCAATCCCTCTCCGTCGTCTTCCTCTACTGGTTTTACGTTTTCTCATGAACTAATCCCCGATTCCGATCTTAAATTCTGCAAAAATTTCCAATAATTGCTAAAATTATCATCTGGGTTCTTTAATTCGTGCCGTTTAGAGCAAAACCCATATCGAAATTCATCATCTTTTCGTGAACACACACACAAAACAAGAAAATCCTCTGTTTTCCTCTGTTTTTTATACGGCCGGTTTCAATGGCGTCTACTGTCGGAAGTCCGTCTAAATCTCTGAGCTCCGACGAAGATCTGCGGCAGATCGTAGATCCGAGGAAGAGGAAGAGAATGATATCGAATCGAGAATCTGCTCGCCGATCTAGGATGCGAAAACAGAAGCAGCTCGACGATCTGACGTCTCAGGCTAGCCTACTCAAAACAGAGAATGAGCAAATCGCTGTCAATTTCAGTTTCACCACCCAACTTTACCTGAATCTGGAGGCGGAGAACTCGGTGCTCCGAGCCCAGATGGCGGAGCTCCGCTATAGATTGGACTCATTAAACGAAATCATAAGCTTTATAAAGTCGAGTACTAGAAATCTGTATGATTGTGAGGAACATGATGAAGTTTCTGAGATTGATGGGGTTGTTGATTCTTGGGGGCTCCCCTTTCTCAACCAGCCAATCATGGCGGCTGGTGATATGTTTATGTGTTGAGTGGAAAGGAAAAAGACAACCAAAACCAGGGTGGATTTCATCATTGTTCATTGGTACTTTGGTCTTGTTTAATGTGGTTGTGTTCTTATTTGGAATGTAATCAATGTACCTTTAATGATATTAAACAAAAAGAAAACTCATTTTATTACAGAGTGTTCACCCAATACATTTGATTTTATTTAAATTGACCTCTCCATACGTTTACCTGCATCTCTTACGATATGATCATTATTGTTCTTGAAGGAGCAAGTGTGAGATCTCACGTCGATTGAAGAAAGGAATGAGTGTTAGCGAAGACGCTGGACTCCGAAAGGAGGTGAATTGTGAGATCTCACATTGGTTGGAGAGGGGAACGAAATATTCATTATAAGGGTGTGGAAATATCTCCCTTAGTATACATGTTTTGAAAACCTTGAAGGAAAACTCGAAAGAAAAAGCTTAAAGAGAACAATATCTGCTACTGATGAGCTTGCGAGGGTGACAAATGGTATCAGAGTCAGACATTTAGTGGTATGCTAGTGAGGACACTAGGCCCTGAAACGGGTGGATTATGAGATCCCACACTGGCTTTGAAGAGATCCCACATAGTTGGAGAGGGGAACTAGTACCAACAAGAACACTGGGTCCTAGAGGGGGTGAACTGTGAGATTCCACATCAATTGGAGAGAGGAACGAGTGTTAGCGAGGACGTTGGTCCCAAAGAAGGGTGAATTTGGAGATCCCACGTCGGTTGGAGAGGGGAACGAAATATTACGTAGAAACCTCTCACTCACATAATTTCTAAGCATGATCGAAATCTTAAGCATGAAACGGTTGTTTTTTCCTTGGTAAAAAAAACTAAAAAGAGTTGGTAAGGTAGGAGCTAAAAAGACAATCCCGCTCAAAGTATTGTTCATTTAAGGTAGGTTTAACTCAAACAAAAAGACAAAGATTTAAAAAATGGAATATAATCAAAACGTATTAAATTGATTACAAATGAGCAAAAAAAATTAACATTTCTTACCATTTATAAGAATTTCTATAATGCATTACCATTTTTTAAGAACATAAAGAGAGACCTTTATTATAATAATACTTTATATTTCTAAATGCTCCATTTTTGGCCTTAAAAAAATGAGCATTATTGGTGATGAAAAGATAACATTTTTATTTGGTCATCATTGGTTGCCTTCAGATTTGCATCAAAATATTTTATTTTAAAAATTGTGTTTGTTTCTCCAGAAAATAAGGGAATTCTCTTCAAAATATATATATATATATATATATTCCAATTTTCAATTATTTTCTTTAACATTATTGAAACGATGATGCAAAACCAAATTTTTATCACAACCCTTTTCCGTTCTCATCGTAATATATAAAATAAAACAAAAAGTTATGATTTTTTTTAATTTTTTATTCTAAATTTAAATTTAAATAAATGTTACAATTTTTACCCTCAATTTAATTACCGCTAATTTTTGTATTAATTTCAATAAAAATTGGTGAAAGATCTTTATAAACTCATTAATTTTAATAAAATGAAGTTTTTTTTTAATGAAAATTAGTCAAATTTCGACTAATGGACAAATTAGATTTGAAGTCGATCTTTCTCTAAAAATTTTAAAATATTATATATAAATTGTTGAACGCATACGAGATTTTTTTTTAATTTTTTATAAATAGAAATATATATCTATATATATATATATATATATATATATATATATATATATATATATATATATATAACTTTATTCAAAGATTAATGTTGAAATCAATATCGGAGGAATATTTAAAGTTGTATTGATACGAAAGTCAAATATTAAGATTAGAAAATAATGATATGATTTGAAAAAAAAAGCGAGAGTAGGCTACCTTGTCTCGAGTGTGGTTATAACTAATTATTAGTTTAACCTAAGTAGTTAATTTAGTTGTGATTAATGTTTTATAAATTTACTTTTAATATTATATATATATATATATTAACTTTTAATAATGATATAAATATATATATTTTTTTAAACTAATTTTAAATATTTTTAAAAGTAATTTAAATTCGGCCGCTGGAAATTAGAGAACACACTCGGAACTGAAGGAGGCTGACACATGTCCCCAGCGTCACAGGCCACGTGGCCACAAAGCGCCACGTGGCAAACTCAAAATCTTATCCACAAAATTCCCTCACTATTTATTGATTCAACAAATCCCCCCATTCCCAAACTCATCATCTCAAACTGAAAAATGGCACATTACCAGAACCAGTACAGCGCACAATCCGGCGCCGACCAGTACGGCAACCCAATTCGCCAGACCGATGAATACGGCAACGTCATTTCCGACACCGCTCAGCACGGAGACCCTCTTCGCCGGACCGATGAATTCCGTGGCACCGACCAGTATGGCAACCCGATTCATCGGACCGATCAGCACGGTGTCGGTGACCCAACTGGACGCACTACTGGCACTGGAATGTACGAAGGGCGGCAGCAGCAGCAGCAGCAGAGGGGTGGAATGTTTCATCATGATAAGCCGGTATCGACAGGGGGATCGGTCGGGTACACGACAGCGGAGCAGGGGGAGCGTCACGAGAAGAAAGGGATGATGGAGAAGATTAAGGAGAAGCTGCCGGGAGGGAACCAATAGGGAGGGTGTGTTCAATTAGTAGAGAAGAAGCTAAGGGCATGGCGGCTTGTTAGCTCGTAGAGCTGCCTGTATGTGACTAAATAATGATAAGGGTCGTCTGTGTCTGTGTGTTATTAAGTAATTTATGTGTTTTTTTGCTGTTTTTTTTTCTACTTCGAACGTGAAATTATGAAGTTATGCTAATAATAATAACAAGAATCGAACAATAAATAGTTTGTTTTCAATAAAGTTTTAAAAAATATCTAAAACTTCAAAGATCTCAACGTTGTTGATCAAATATGAACTCAAACAGAAAGTTACAATTACATCATGATAGTTATTTTGATCCAGCTTCATCCTAATAACTTAAAATTTTTAATAGATTAATTTTTAACCGACCCCAACGATGTTAGGGACGTTAGAAATTATCCACGGAGAGCTCAGACCTCATACTAATACATATAAATGGATTATTTAGACAACATGAGACTTCCTCGCAACAATGTATGGAGCTCTTGATGTATGGAGCTCTTGATGTATGGAGCTCTTGAACCACCTTTTCTAATTGAGGTTCGATTCTTTTTCTTGTATCCTCGAACCATTCTATTAACATGGTATTAGAGTCGTGTCTTAAATTTAGCTATATCAATAGAATCTTCAAATGTCGAACAAAGAAGTTTTGAGCTTCGGAGGTGAAATCAAAAGTGACTCGAGTGTCGAATAAAGAAATTGTGAGTTTTAAAAGTGTAGTCAAGAGTGACTCAAGTGTTGAACAAAGGGTGTACTTTGTTCGAGGACTCCAAAGAAGGAGTCGAGTCTCAATTAAAGGGAGACTATTCGAGGGCTCCATAGGCCTTAGGAGAGGTTCTATAGTATACTTTGTTCGAGGAGAAGATTGTTGGGAGAGAGTCTCACATTGGCTAATTTAGAGAATGATCATGTGTTTATAAGTAAGAAATATCATCTCCATTGGTATAAGGCCATTCGGAGAAGTCCAAAACAAAGTTATGAGAACTTATGTTCAAAGTAGACAATATCATACCGTTGTGGAGGTTCAAGGTTTAGAGGCCCATTATTCCTAACAAGGGAAGTACGACTTTTTCACAATGGTATGTAGCTTTGCTTTTAGTTAACGATCCTCATGTCAATGGAGATATATTCTTTACTTATAGATCTATGATCACCCCCTTAATTAGCCGGTGGGACTCCTTTCCCAACAATCCTCTCCTCAAATAAAGTATACTATAGAGCTTCCCTCGAGGCTTATGTAGCCTCCAAACGGCTTCTCCTTAATCGAGGCTCGACTTCTTCACTGGATCCCTCGAACAAAGTATACTCTTTGTTCGACACTTGAGGCACTTTTGATTATACCTTTGAAGCTCACAACTTCTTTGTTTGACATTTGAAGATTTTATTGACGTCTAGCATGACTCTAATACTATGTTAGAAACCACAACTCTCCACAATAATACTATATTGTCCACTTTGAGCATGAACTCTCGTGATGTTACTTTTGGTTTCCTCAAAACGCCTCGGAGATATGTTCTTTACTTACAAACCTATGATCAACTCCTTAGTCGAGGTGGGAATCCTCTCCCAACCATCCTCAATTGTTTTTGACACACGAAGCCAATTCAACTTTTACAGACGAGTCATCTGGAATTTAAATTTCTTTTGGCACTGAGGCTAAGTCGTGTTTTCACATTCCCTAATTTTCACCCTATAAGATACAAAAAAATTTGAGTGACAGAGGAAAGGGAACGGATTTCAACAAGCCAACTACAATTGAAGAAGAACAAGAATAAGAAGAATTTCTGATACCTGTCGGAACTTGATGATTGATCAACAATAAGCATTAGCAGGCGATGAAAGCGCAAGGAATTAAGAGGGCTCTGGCTTGGATCACCAAAAGTTACCACAAGAACAAGTCCCATTGTGGAAGTGATGAAATCTCATGTTATCCCTTATAATGATCTCCCTTCCAGTGATTTCAGATGCAGCACACATGACATTGTGGCAATCCTCGCATATCCTAAGGTTTTTCATGATCGTAATGGTTTCCCCTGCCTCAGTACATAACAGCCCGTATGCCAATGCCAGCTTCTCACTATGACTCATCAGTATTCGTTCCTTTTCATCATCGGTCAAGTCATAAGGCACAGAGCTCAAGTTTGGCTTGTATCCATGGGCTCTTAATCTCTCAAGGAGTTGCCTCAAGGCTTGTCTAATCTCACTTGATCGTTGATGGGTTGCATCATCCGCAAAGAATTCATGAATGTCCCCTTTCTTTCCTTCAAACCAGCTGCAGCCAGGATTCTTCTTTAAGCCTTTGGCTCGAATCACTTTACGCAATTTCGACACCTCTTCCCATCTTCCTGCTGATGCATATATGTTTGATAGCAGAATGTAGTTCCCTATACCATCTGGTTCTAGCTTGAATAATTGATCGGCAGCTACCCGAGCAATGTCGGGATTCCCATGGATGCGGCAAGCTCCAAGCAGTGCTCCCCATACACCTCCATGGGGTTCCATTGTCATGGTTTCAATGAGTTCAAGAGCTTCTTCCAAACATCCACCTCGACCAAGGAGATCAACCATACACGCATAATGATCGGGTGAAGGCGTTACGTTAAAATACTTTTCCATCTTAGCAAATAGCTGCCGACCTTGTTCGACCATACCGGCATGGCTACATGCTGAAAGCACCCCAATGAAAGTAACCTTATTTGGCCTGATCTCAGTTTTTAACATCTCATGGAACAACTGCAAAGCGGAATGAGCGCGACCATGCATAGCGTATCCCACAATCATTGAACTATACGAGAACACATTTCTTTCCTTCATTCCTTCAAAAACCTTGTATGCCTCATCAGGACTGCCACATTTAGAATACATATCGATAAGAGCAGATCCCACCATTACATTTTCATAAGGTCCAAAGCCTGATCTTTCAGCAATGTCTCTAATCCAGTTAGCATATTTAACTGCACCCAATTGTGCACAGGCTGAGATGACACCAACAAGTGTAACTTCATCGGTCTCGATACCGACATCCTGCATCTTCTGAAAATACTCCAATGCCTCCTTTGGTCTAGCATTTTGGGCATAACCAGTGACCATTGCAGTCCATGCCACCATATCCTTCAAAGGCAATTCATCAAACAGCCCCCTAGCAGATTCCATATCCCCAAACTTCGCATACGCAACAATCAGCTCAGTCCATGAAACCACATCTCTCTCAGACATTTCATCGAACACCTTCCGCCCACAACCCAAAACCCCACATTTCACATACATATCAATCATCGTATTACCAACATATAAATCAGAAGCGAAACCCCCAATCAAAATCGTCTGAGCATGCACCTGCCTACCTAAATCCAAATTAAGAGAAGCCCCACAAGCCTTAAAAAGCGCAGAAAACGTAAACGAAACAGGACTGACGCCATTCCTCCTCATGTTAGTATACAAGTTAATAGACTCAGTGAAGGGTCCTTGAAGGGCATACCCACGAATCATGGCAGTCCAAAGAAAGGGGTTGGGGTAATTAACCTGTCCAAAAACCAAACGTGGGTAGCAATCCATTGGGACATCTACCTTCGAAAGCGTGCGAATGAGTTTGGTGAGGACGTAAGAGCATTGACTCAAGCCATTGCAAATGATTTGGCCATGAACTTGCTTGATTTGAGAAAAGTCCGTGCAGTCGTGGAGAATACTTATGAGTCGCCATTCTAAGAGCTTCCGCTGCTGTTGAAGCTGAGAAAAGGGTATGAAATTTGACGTCGCCTGTGTCTGGCTGGGCTGTAAATGACTAAGCTTGCAGACTGTGGAGAAGTTGCGGGAGAGACCAACCATTACAAAGTTGCAGGCATTGGAGGCGTACCGTTCGACGGTCACTCCGGCAACTTCGATAAAACGCTAGACGGGGCACATACAAGGGCTCGATTAGTTAGGGCAATTTATTTTTTATTTTTTAATATAATATTTATTTAAAAATATTTTTAAGAAAGTCTCATTAAATCAATAAATATATATATAGATATATACATAAATATAATATAATATGTTTGAACCTAATTTTTAAAAAATTTAAATTTTAATATTATACCGTTTAAATATAAAAAATTTTGAGCCATCAAATTAACCAATTTATATATATATATATATATATATATATATATATATAGAATATAATATGTTTTAACCTAATTTTTAAAATTTTAAATTTTAATATTATACCGTTAAAATATTAGAATTCTTGAGGCATCAAATTAACCCATTTAATATATATATATATATATATTAATATGTTCTGAAAATATATTTATATTAAGTAGGAGAAATTGGGTAGAAACGGATAGAAGGAATATAATTCCGTCTTCGATCCCATTAATGGAAAAAAATGTTCTACACCCCTCCCCTATTCCTCGTCTAAACTGAGAATACCCTCCAATAAAGAAGATAGAATTAAATAAAATTATAATAAATATGTGTATAGTAAAAAAATATATATATTTTAAAATTAATGGTTATTTCGTTCAACCCTAAGCAGTTTTTTATTTATTTGAATGAACTTCTCGAACATTGGGTTAGGTTGATTCAATTTTTTCGGTTATTTAATTTCCCGTTTTTTTTAATATTTTATTTGCAATTCAATATATTAATAAAGCGATTTACATTGGATATTTAAGTTATTTATGGTTTACTTTATCAACAATTTACTCCCTTTATATGAATTATTTAAATTTTAATGCAAACCATATAAGAAAGAATGTTCCATTAATTATGAATTTTTGACTTTTATGTAACACCTCTAATAACGTAGCTTAAAAATGAGGAAAATTATTTTACTTTAAAAAGAAATGTCATTTCAACGAAGAATTCCCTAAATTAATATGTTTCAAATCCCGAATCTTTAACGTTACATTTGCTAAAATATAAATTTTAAAACGAGAGATTTAATAGAAAATAAAGATTATAGTCAAATCTCGTTAGGTCGGGATCTTTCTTTTACTGCTTAAATTTCTATTTGTCAACAATGGAGAACTACTGCTCGATCGAAGAAACAAATAGTTGTTGAGAGGTTCCATATTATCGAACCGAAATTGAAAGGTAGCACTTTTGTACGTGATCATAGTATGTCATGCCGTCTCGTCTCTGCATTATTGAAGAGTATCTATAAACTATTTTCAGTTTACTGAGAATGAATATAGAGTTGGAGTTAAGGCAATAGATGTGTTCGTTTTCGTCGGTCGTTTAAGCACATTGTGTCGTCAAAGTATCTTTCATTCATCTTCTGTTTGTGTTCTTTTTCTGTTGAACATTTGAACTCGACGTAAAATATTCAAAATAGTATTTTTAACGTAACTTAATTAATTGAATTTAAAAGTTAAAAAGAAAATAATCCGAATAATCTAATCGAGTGATAGGGGCATTTCTTTCTTTCTTTTTTTTTTTTTTTTTCTTAAATATTATGTGCAATGTCTTTATCAAATTTAAAAAATAGGGATGACTTAGAGGCAAAGCAAAGATTAATATAATCTATAATTTAATTAATAGAAATAAAAAAAATTAAAAATTATCCCAACTTTTAAAAGTGGAGATAATATTTGTTTCCATTAATCTATTAAAATTTCAAAAATACTTTTTAAAATTTCATTTATAATTTCTAATTTTTTTAAAAAAATTAAAAAATATATTTATGGTTATTCAACCATTTATAAAACGATATTAATGTTATTTTAAAATTAAAAGTGTTTTAAAACTTTTAAAAAGACTAAAAAAATATTTTAAAATTTATGGATAATTTTTATATTCATCCAAAACTAATGGTAATGATATTTATATAGACTGTTATTTTAAAAAAATTAATGATATTATTAAAAAATTAAAAGTTTAAGAATATGTTTCGATATTTTTATTAATTTAACATAAAAACTTCTTTTTCTTTTTCAATTTAATTATATATATATATTAAGCTGCATGGGTTTCATGTGGGAATTATCCAAGAGTGCTATTTATTTCATTAAGCACTTTTTTTTTTTTAATAATTATTTCCTACCTTAATTGAGATAAAGGTGAGGGGATATGCTATATTTATGCTTTGGTGCGTTGAAATATTATATTTTAGTTTATTTTTTTATGGGTTTTCGGTCGTAATTACTTTATTCACTTATCTTTAATTATTTTTATGAGTAAAAACTATCTGACATTTTATTATAAGGCAAATATTTAATAATATTTAGTTATTTCCATTTATTACTATTTTCATATTCTTGTAATTTATTTAATTATAAATAAGATAACTTTCACACCATTTAGGTGAGTGGATTAATCAAACATTCTTACCCGAGCAATTTTAAAAGTTTAAGATAAAAAATTAAAATTTTAATTTAAGAATTTCAAATCTAAGCGGAAATGAATTATTGTTTTTAGATAATTTGTTTTCTTTATTATTATTATTTTTAGATTTTTGTTTTTGTCTTATTCTCCTTGATTTAGAATTAGGTTTTACATTTTATGTTGTTGTTGGCCAAATTATGGGTGATTTTTCATTGATTTTCTTTTTCACAATTTTATAATTTTAATTAATATTTTCAACTTAAATTACCCTAATTAAATAAAAATGTCGGAAAAAAAAGACTATATTATAATTTTATTTTAACTCAGCTTCACGGTTTTAAAACGAGTATATTGGGGAGAAGTTTTCGATGTGGGATCTCACAATCTACTCTCTTTAGGTGTCGGTGTTTTCGTTAGTACACCACTCAGTATCTAACTCTGATACTATTTGCAATGGTTCTCCAATTGAATGCGATCCAAACTGAGATTCAAATCTCTGATCTCTTAGGTATCTCTATCTTTGAACTATGTTAAAATCGGTCGAAATTAGTATCAACTTTTTTACACGAACGGCTTATTGATTTGGTTGGATTAGTTGAACACTATTCCGATGTGGTTTAGGTTTTTCAACGAAGTAGTTGAATGTGTCTCTACTTTTTCCCCCTTCAATTCCGAACAATAATTTAAATCTAATTATTATTGTTTTTTTAATTTTAAAGTCAGACATTTTACTACAAAAATTTAAAAATATTTCTTTTTGAATAAGACAAAAGTAACATAAATATTAATAAATTAATTGACCAAATATATTTTTAATTATTTAAAAAATTATACCAAATTCACCTTAATTCATAATAATGCAACTCAATTATCAAAGGGAATTAGGTGGCGTTACAAAAATATAAATTAATAATATGAAAAAAAAAAAAAATCCAAGCTACGTGGCAATATAACTACCAATACGACGTCGTTTTTCGTGGATGTTGGGTGAAAAATTTAAAATTTCCCAATAAACTTTCTAATTCACTCACAAATTTACAAATTAAAAAAAAAAAACTAAAAAATCTTTTTAATTTAAATTTATTAATTTCAATAATATTAAAATTTTGGTTACTCGGAGTGAATTTTGGTCGATAAAATTTCATTAAATTATAGGGACTAAATTGAAATTATGCTAAAGTTTTAATTTTATTCGTCAAATATAACTTTTTATTTTATATATTTTTTTTCTCTAAAGAATAAATGTGTATATTAATTTTTTTTGAATGAATTATTGACCTTAAAGATCATAGTGTACTTGTTCATCAAGCCACATTCTTTAATGAAAAAGGCTTAGGTTACATGATTAATACCACTCCATATGCTTTTTGATACCTAAATTATAATCTATACCTCCTTTAAATTGGTACACCACTTTTGAATTAATACACAATAAAAATTAAACTATATACAACTTGGGTCCGAATATCTTTTAATTTAAACACTTTTTTCAAAATTATTTTAAATAACTGTAACAATCCGAGCTCATTGCTAGTAGATACTGTGGTCTTTCAACATTCCTTCCGCTAACGATTTTAAAACGACTCTACTAAAGAGAGATTTCCACACCCGAGATCTTAACAATCCACCTCTTTGGAGCCCAATGTCCTCGCTGACATATCACTCAGTGTCGGACTTTAATACCATTTCTCGATTTGTGTGTTATCAAAGTTATTCGGGAAAACTAGAACTTTTTTAGTCCCTTTTCTAGAAGAAAAATGTTGTATTTAATGGAAACATTAAGAACAAGATACCGTTAACTTTCGAATCAATTAAACTTGGTTTAAAAAAATTAAATTAAAACATGTGACTTATTAATTATTAGAACACAATTAATAATAATGATATGATTAATCATGTTTAGAAAGCCAAAATGAAGAGGGGTTTTTGCTAATCCTTCCTTAATTAGCTTATTATTAATTAATTAAGTAAAACATTCATAATTAACAACTCCAAATCCTTTATTTCTTTGTTACGTAAAGCTTTTTTAGTTGTTAGCTACCAACTCCCATTGCTTTCATTAATTTTCTCTCTATAAATTTAATCTCATAATCTTCTTTGGATCATACTTCGAAGCTTCCTTCTAAGAGCTATTATGGCTATGTCTCTGAGCTTTGTCTTTGCTTTGGCTCTTCTTGCCATGGCTTCTGGTGGTTTGTCTCATAAGATTGGCGGCGGAGGTGGCGGCGGGGGTGGTGGTGGTGGGTATTATTTGTATTCACAATTCTATGACCATTCTTGTCCAAGAGCTCAAGAGATAGTGAAGTACATAGTGGGTAAGGCTTTTGCTAAGGATCCTCGCATGGCTGCTTCCTTGCTTAGGCTTCATTTCCATGATTGCTTTGTTAAGGTTCGTCTCTAACTCTATTTTTTTTTTTTTTTTTCGAATTTGAAATTTGATTAAGAATTCAAAGTTGCTTGAGACTGACGGTTATCGGGTTGTTTAGAAATAGAACGAGTTTTTGAATGGAGAAGTTTGTTATTGTTGTGAAATAATTGAAGATACGAGGTTACGAGGATGTCTGTTTAACCTGCGAGTGTAGGGACCCATTCTAAATGGGTTGGAGAATCTATGTTTAAATGGGGAACGAGGGAGAGAAGGGGGAGAGATTTTTATTAGTTGACTAAATGGAAGAGGGACGAGAATTACGTTCCTTGTCCTCGTACTCGTCATGCTCGTAGAGAACGAAATTGTGAGATCCCACACTGATGGGAGAGGAGAACGAAGCATTCTTTCTAAGGGTGTGGAAATTTCTCTCTAGTAGACGCGTTTTAAAAACTTTGAGGGAAAGTCCGAAAGGGAAAGCTCAAAGAGGACAATCTCTGCTAGTGGTGGTGGGCTTGAGCTGTTATAGAAATAGGAAGCGGGAATGGAGACGGAAAAGACTTCTCTATCCCGCCCATAAACACCTATATTCGAGAGAGTCTATAATCTATCTTCTTAAACATTTAGCTTTTTAGGGATGGAGACAGGAAAGGCTTCTCGAGAGACTAATAATTTCATCTTCTTAAACATTTGACTTTTTCAGGGCTGTGATGCCTCACTGTTGTTAGATAGTAGCGGGACAATAACGAGTGAAAAAAGATCAAACCCAAACAGAGACTCCGCTCGAGGCTTTGAAGTCATTGACGAGATCAAATTCGCCTTGGAAAAAGAGTGTCCTCGCACCGTTTCTTGTGCTGATATCTTAGCCATTGCTGCTAGAGACTCGACCGTCATAGTAAGCCTCTTTCTTTCTTTTTCCTCGTCTTTTTAAGCTAAGACTGAGCCAATTTGTTGGTACAAAAGACAGGAGGACCCAGTTGGGAGGTTCCGTTAGGGCGAAGAGACTCAAGAGGAGCTAGCCTTAGTGGCTCAAACAATGACATTCCAGCTCCAAACAACACTTTCCAAACCATTCTCACCAAGTTCAAGAGACAAGGCCTCAACATAGTCGACCTTGTCGCTCTCTCAGGTAAAACTTAATTTTGAAACGTTTACAAAAGGTCAAAGACAAAACTGTAACTTTTAATGAATACAGGAAGTCACACCATCGGGAACTCTCGATGCACTAGCTTTAGACAACGGCTCTACAACCAAACCGGCAATGCCAAGCCCGACCCGTCACTCGATCCGTCGTATGCAGCTGAATTGCGTCAACGATGCCCGAGATCAGGGGGCGATCAGAACCTGTTTTTCCTGGACTTAGTCAGCCCGACCAAGTTCGACAACTACTACTTCAAGAACCTTTTGGCTGGGAAGGGACTACTGAACTCGGATGAAGTTCTGTTGACAAAGAACCAACAATCCGCCGAGTTGGTGAAGACATATGCAGAGAATTCGGAGACGTTTTTCGAGCAGTTTGCGAGGTCGATGGTTAAGATGGGGAACATTTCTCCGCTCACGGGTTCGAGGGGGGAGATCAGAAAGCATTGTAGGAGAGTTAACAAAGATTAGGAAGATGAAGATGAAGGTGTTTGAATGTGTTTGTGTGTGAGAAGTTTGTTGTTTGTTGGTTTCTTTGTCAAATTCTTCAATGTTTTTATGGTCTGTTTTTGAACTCAGAAGTTCATGTATTTGTGTGTTCCTTCCATCATTAACCTCTTTTATCTCATAAATTTGATCCTCTTTGTAATTTATAGACCAAGAACGTTTTGGTTGTCTCGAGGTCTCGAGAAAGTAATCGGTTAAAAAAATATTCTTAAATTTTTATAAGTTTCAATTGAAACATTTCAAAAATAATTTTATTCTTAATTTTGGATCGAGATTTAACAAAAATACTTTTACTTTTCATTTTTTCCATCAAGAACGAAAACTGTTTATCTACATCTCATAAATCATCTCCTTCAATTGAATCTAGGTAAGTTCGTAAAGAAATAGATTCTAGAAGCTAAGCTAAAAAAAGGGTATTGTGAGAAATTTAAATAATCGGGTTCATTGATATTCCTGATACAGTAGATGCTATCATATCAGACATACAATCATACTCAATTCAATATTTGGCTATCATATCAGACATATAGTCATACTCAATTCAATATTTGATCTCAAAGGAGATCTTCTATAATTTCGCACATAAGGGGTTATTTCTTGGTTTTAGGTCTGCCTTCCATCCACATCGTAAGAGTCCTACTGAAACCAAGAAATATAGACCTACCTTCCATTCTAGTGTCCACACTAGAATAAATGAAGTTTTCCGAAAAAACCTGCTAGTAATCTTTTATATATATAATCTTGCATAATCTCAAACGTTATCAGCTCCGATCCGTACACCAAAAAGTTACTAACAAAAATTTATATAAAACTTTTGAAAACTCATTAATAAATATTTTTATACTTAAGATTCAAATGAAATAATTGAGAACTTTTTTGCCCATAATATTTTTAGAAAATAACTATCAGAAACAAAGTTAAAAAAAAAAAAATACAAAACCTAAAATCAAAAGAGGTATTAAAATACACATAATACATATTTATTAATTTATTTAAAAAAATTCAAAGTAGTATGATGATGATGATGATGATGTGAAAGGAAGGAGGCATATTAGTAGTGATGATGATTTATGAATTTGGTAACAAGAGAGGTTCGGTTCTCACCCAGGAAGGAAGCCAAGGAAGGAACAGACTACTACTTCTGTTGTTCTTCAGAAATTGGTAAAAAAAAAAACAAAAAAAAAAAACAGCACAAATTCATCTTCCTCCTTTACAAAATGCCACGCCTTTCCACTTTTTTACTTCCTTTTTTCGTTTCCATAATCATTTTCTACTTCCTTTTCAACTTACAAACAACGGAAGCCACACCCTTAACACAATGGAAGAGGTTACGTTACACTTTGTCGTCGTGGAACCACCACCTCGTCTCCTTTGGAGACCTTCCGTTCCTACAATTCTTTACATAACGATCGTTATCGTCAGGGCGTTGCTGCAATTCAAAACAATAGACCATTAGAGAAGGATTCTGCTTTGATTTGCTTCTTGCATCTTAACAATGTCAAAGGATGGTGAAAAACATATTGATTGTGTATATCAGACCTTTGCGGGGGAGCTTGACAGCATGGAGAGAATGCTGATACAGATGGAACTTACGGTCATTGCCGGCGACCATGAATCGTACAAAATATCTACATAGTTTCAGAGTGCAGGGAAGTCATAATGGTCAGTCTTGCTAGCTACAAAGGTGATAACTAAGCTCTCAGACAAAAGCCAATAGATCACATATAACCCCATATCATAGATTAACAGGATTCACAACGGTTAGAAACATTTATCAGAGGAAAAGAAACCGACGTAACAACTACACTGTGAGATCCCACGTCGATTGGAGAGGGGAACAAAGTATTCCTTATAAGAGTATGGCAACCTCTCCCTAGCAGATACGTTTTAAAACTGAGAGACTGATAGCAATACGTAATGGGCCAAAACAGACAATATTTGCTGGCGGTGAACTTGGACTGTTACATACACCACCATATTATGAAAAAAACGCATCACCTTAGTCACACATGTAAAGTGCATCGGAACATCTACATCAATTGCAAGTTATAGACGCGTTCGAAATCAAACCAACGATCCAAGCTAAACGGGTTTGGTTTGAGGTTCTTTCCCTTTGTCCCAGCATTTATAGTTTGGTTCAGTTAAAAAAAAAAATTATCTAAAGCAAACCAAACAGTTAAGACATAGATTGCCAAAATAAACAAATATTGTGAGATCCCACGTCTCCAATCGAGAGGGGAACGAAGCATTCTTTATAAAGGTGTAGAAACTTCTCCTTAGCAGACGCGTTTTAAAAACATTGAGGGGAAGTCCAGAAAGAAAATCTCAAAGAGAACAATATCTGCTAGCATTGAACTTGAACTATTACATATATTAACTCCTAAATAACTCAAAATATAACATAATTAATGATTTCTTGTAAAGTCTAAAGTCAAGTTTGAAAAGACAAACATTACAAAACAATTACAATCTAACATGTTTGGGATTTTTTTAACGTTAGTACTTATTGTTTGAGCAGCATGGTTCTGTTCTTATTCTTTGTGTGTGTGTGTGTGTGAATGTATGTACATAACTGGTTCAAAGATTCCAAAACAAACCAGACCAATGAACATCCTAGTAAACAACATGACACAATAAACACCGATCCTACAATAAATTATCAGCATAGAGGGTCTTCTCATCTATACAAACTTCTTATTACCAAAAAAAAAAGAAGAAACAAATTCCAAATCAAGCGGTACTTTCTCTGTAAACTAGTTTATATATTGAAAAGTTGTAAGTGAATGGATGCAAGCCACTTGTTGTCGCATCAACAAAAAGTGATGTTCTTACTGTTGAACTAAAAGGACAGGATGTATACCAAAACCTTCCTGTAACATCAAATCATTCAGGTTCCCCATGACAAGTCAGTGATAAGGCTGCAGGCAACGTGCCACTATATAATGGGAAAGTCTAGAAACGACCTCCCCCCACCCCCCATTGAGATATCTACTACTTGGGTGAAATTCAATTGAACTCAATTACTATTACTGGTACGACCTTATGAACTCTGACTACTCTCCTGACACAAATATTCTAAGCAAAACTCCTTAGACAGCATTGAACTCAAAACAGTGTAGATTGGAAACGAGACAAAAGTATGAACACAAACAACAGAGAGAAGAAAGGAATATAATAAGAACTCAATAATCCTGCAGAAATGCCACCAGTAGAGGCACCAAAGAGAAAACAATAGATATACCAACCTAGACAAATGTGACCGTTGCTATAGATATGAGGATGCAGGGGAGCTGGATGCAGAAATATAACCTGTAATGAAACGGGCGGGCCAAAATCAAAGACAATCATAATACAATCGATATCTAAATAAAGATGCCATAGGGTTATGGAATGGAAATGATCTCAGAGTTGGATGATTATGTTTAGACCTGTGGGGCTTCCATTGGATAATGTTCGGGGAAATCCACCTGAAGCTGGTAGGTTTCATTTGCATAGAGAGTTCCAGGGGCTCCGTTGACTTCAATCACCCACCTTCCAACAAAAAAACCCAGAAATGAACGTGAAATTCCTACTAAAAGCAACAACAACAACAAAAATTCCTTACAGAACCGACTACAGGAAATAACAGGAACAAGAAAACTTCGTTGTGATACAAAAATGAAGCCCAGGACGACGCAATCAGACCTAAACAAAGACCCCACCACCACTAATTGCACGGAATTAAATAGAATTGTAGCCTTGTTTTTCTACGACGGTGAGTATGAAGGACGACCTAGAAAGCGAGTAAACGGAATTTTGTTCAAAAAAACCCTACGAGGAAAGGGGAAGAAGAAATACCTCTGAAGATTATCGGTGACCCTGTGTTTAAAACCAGCGGGAGGGTTGACCTGCCACTCAACGAGCTCCTTCTGGAGGCGATTGCAGGCAATCTTACTCAGAGCCTGGAAATCAAAGAAGGAAAATGAATCAAATCAGAAACGGAAAGGGAGAAGAGGAAGAGACAGGGGAGATGAATTAGAAGGCAGTGGATTGATGAATCGAAGAAGGCGAAGAGGATGATGACGATGATGATGAAGATGATGAAGATGGGGGGAAAGAAGAGAAAAAGAAGGAACCTTGCGGGCGGAGTCGGAGGAGCTGGTCATGCTTGGGTTAGGCTCCGCAATGGCAGAGAAAGAGGGGGAGAGTTTTTATGGTGAATGTGACGAAGATGTAACGAAAGGGACAAAGTGGAGCGGCCACGACCTTATATATATTTATATAATTATATATATTATTTATATATATATATATATACCGCCACTCCCACTCTTCCTTCCCTATTCCTTTCCCATTTACTTTTTAAATATCTTTTCTTCTTTCTTTTCCGATTAATTTATCACGTCAAATTATTATTATTTTTAGTTGCACTGATATCTTATTTATTGAGTTATGCTTAAATTGATAATAGACAAGTTTTTATATAATTATTAACGAGAATTTTTAATATATTAAAGGTAATATTTACTTATTTTCATGTAAATTTCTTTGAATTTAGTGCCTAGTTTATATATGAATTAATTTTGTGTGAAATAAGTCCTGAACTTTTAATTTTGGTTGATATAGGAACTCACCGAGAATCCAATTCACGCAAAAAAAAAAAAAAAAAAAAGGAAGGTTTTTCCATCCCCGCTTAGCCTCGTGAACATCTTTGGTTACAAATCTAAACAATTACATTAATCTCTAAGATGAAACGATTTAGCCGTTCATATTCATCAAATAATAACAAGATTCAAATCCAAAATTCATCCAATTAAAAATAGTAAGGATAAAAGAGATCTGGGCTAACATGTCGATCTAATGTTACTGATCATGATCTTGTCTTCTATACCATCATTTTTTCTTTTTTATGATGTTTAATTCTCCATAAATTCTTCAAAACGTCCCACAAATGTTGAATACATAAAGCAAATTAAGACCAGAGGGAAGAGATAGCTTGTTACCAAAAAAAAAACATATGAACTAGGTTAATTATGTTCTTCTCATAATTTAGGATTTTTATTTTAATTATTAGTCAATTATCTGGTTTATTTTTAAATTGGATATCTGTTGACTAGACCTTTTATATGGTCCACAGCCTTGTAAC